TGGCCAGATACAGAACCCAGAGAATCTGAGGCCACCACCTCCATCCTGCTGCTCCTTTCTGTGCCACACAACCCGTCGCCCTATGAGGTCTATTTAAATTCTATTAGAGTTTTACTCCCATGCCAGAACACCAGGGAACATTATGTTGGGGGGAATGAGGGAGGATGAGTCTCTTGTTATACCCTGATTTGAAAATGTTTAATCAAGTGAGTTTATGTAGTTAAAACCTCAATGCCACAATTATCATCAAATGGATACCAAACCCACCAAGTAAGACATCTGGTTTTAATGAATTCGTTAATATTAACATGATATTAAAAAAAGTATCAAGAGAAGGGAGACTGGCTGACAGGACAACAGAACAAATGGAAACCAGCACCAGTTGTCTTAAATCTTCCTCATGTCCACTTGCAGAAATTCCTTTCAACTACCAATACCACTTATTTAAGAATTCACATATTTAAATATATGTCCATATTTGATTACCTTATTTAAACTTTAAAAAATTCTGACTTACACACTATACCCCTATCATTTCAAGATAAATAATTTACAAAATAATTGTTGCTCCAGAATACAGAAGCTCTATTAGCTTTGAACAGATTAAAAAACACTTTAGTTATAGAAACAAAATTTCTACAAAACAAAAAGTAACTGACAAATGAAAAGCAAAATAGTTCAGAAAAAAATTGTAGAAAATATGAAGATTCATGTCTCTCTTATATAAAGAGCATAAAGTAATTAGCAAGAAAGACATAAGATCCCTATAAATAAATGGACAAAGAAGATGAAGAGACAATTTGAGAAAAAATCATTTTAAAAGAGAATTGGAGGGGAAAAAAAATTCTCCTGTCAAAAAAAAAACAGTTAAAAATGACCATTAATTCAACAAGTTCACCCTACCTATGTTTACTGAATACTAGCTTATTGCCTGAGGACACAGCAGTGAATAAAGTAAATATTCACACTGTCGATTTGTGAATACAAAAATGATAAATCTCACACTTTTCAGGTTATAATGTAACTAGATGCCTATCACATAGCTGTAGCATTTTCAATGTAAACTACTCTTGAGGAAGGGGTCATAGGAATTCTTGCCAATAATAATAATCATTATAATCATCAGAAAGGAAGTCAAGGCTACATATTGAAGGTTACCAGAAACCTCACTGATGTATTTAACACTATGTATTACCCCAACAGGAAGGCCCAGAAAGCAGAGATCTTGTGGGTTACCACTGTACCCCATGTCTAGAGCAGTGCCCAGAAATGAGAAAATGCCCCTACATGTGTCACGTGGATGAATGAATCCAGAAACATGGTCACTACAGTGTAACCTATACAAACCCAATTACACAGGTCATTGTATACAATGCTGAAATAATAATATGAAAAAAACTGTCATATTATAAAACATTGCAGGCATCCAAAACATAAGCAGAGATAAGGAATGGGAGAAAATGTGCAAAAATTAAAGCAGAATGCAGTTGTAAAATTGTGCTAAATATTAAAGGGATTACATTTAATTTATGTGATATTAGCACCCCACTGTTTTGCAGCATGGTAATTAGGTAAAGAATCTGAGTGTCAGTTTCTATTATGCCATTTTCCACCCTAACAAATGATTTTACAAATCTTTTCATAGTTATTTCCACTTCGTCTTAAAGTCTAAAGATAGGCTTTAAGTTGTTTTAAAGAAAACAACTGAGAGCAGTGTTTTACAATGTGTGTTTTTTGGCTCATCCAATATAGAATCACCTGCGGTGCTTTTTGTGAATTCAGATTCTACAACCCATTTCCAGAAATTGTGAATTAACAAATCTGAAACGAGCTCAGAAATGTTGAATTTTTAACTTGCAACTTAAGTAATGGCCTTAGAGATAGTAATCCATCTCCCTTCTTCACATGATGCCATTTAAACCTAAAGAGACTAACTTAATTACCTGAGCCAATTAATAGTAGAACAAGAATAAAAACCCATAACTACAACTTCCCAGTCCAATCTTCTTTGCAATAAATGAGATTCCTCTTTAATGACTCTTCAACATTTGCTGTAATAGCTGCCCTTCTACCTCTAGCCACTGTCTGTTTACTCTCTGTGGAGTAACTGCCAAAGTAAATTAGTAAAATTATGTATAAATTAGAGGCAAGAAAAATAAAAACAGTTCCTATGTTAGGGTGGTGTAGGTCAATTTCATTTTTGTTTTATTCTATTCGTGCTATTATGTGGGCGATAAATCTCATTTTAAAATAAAAATAATTGAGCCTTGTTGCATGTCACTAAATTAAATCCAACACAAATTAAGATACAGAGGTTCAAATCTAACATCACTTACATTTTTATGATAAATATATTCATTTCATCATCTTTAAAAAAATACACAAGATTACTCTGTGTGTGTGTGTGTGTGTCTGTATAAAACTTTTCGAAGTTGAATCAAACCATCTTAGGATTGTTTAGTGCTTTTCCTAAAACACAGGTTGTTGCCCTCACTGGCAGAAAGCCCCCTGACCCATTACTCAGCATGTCACCAGGTTTTTCACATGTGCTCTATCATGGGAGAAAACCAATGGGCAACTTTCCTCTGGGGAAAAAGACATATACCAGGATGCAAAAACAGATGAAAATGGAATGGTATGCCAGGGTCTGAACATGGACCGCCTTCCTTATTGGCTCATTCTTGAGTCAACTAGTTCTTTAAGACTGACTAAAAACCAAGTCCCTTAAGACCTGAATCTATGTGATATAATGCAATTAAACACATACACATATACACAAATAGTATACATTTAAAGATGTGTGTGTGTGCATATATATATATGTTAATGCATAGAAAAGACCTTGTATACAAGCATAAAAATATGTTTACTTATCAAAAGATGGAGAGGGTTTCAGCCTTAATGCTTTAATTTTTAAGGAGAATATGCTCATTACTCATGTACATGGAAATGCTTCTAATGTACTGACTTCATTAGATGCCCTTTTTTTGCACCTCTCTGTAACTCCTGTACAACCTATTATTGCACTGACCTCACCATCCATCATATGTTCTGGTCTTGACTTTTCCTCTTGGAAGACAAGACTTGTGTCCTTCTCAGTAAACCCATCATTTTTAGTGTGCCTGACATGGTATACAATGTTTATTGAAAGCATACCCTGAAACTCCTGGACAACTAAATTATTCAGTGAAAGAATCCTTAGGCTATTTCTAAAAGTTCCCAAGTCAGAAAATTTCTCTTTAACCTAGACTTTAAAAAGGCAGTTTGTAGAGTGGTTAAGAAGGTAGACTTAGAGTTATACGGCTCCAGTTTTAAACTCAACTCTGCATTATAAACTGTAATTCCTAGACTTATTACTTAATCCTCATTTTCCTCATCTACAAAACATAGACAAAAAAATGTCTTCCTCCTATATTTGTGGTGAAGATTAAAAGGAAATGTCTACAAATTAATTAACATTGTACCTGGTACTCAGCAAATAGTATTCATTATGCTTTTCACACTCAATTCCTAATACTAAAGCAATAATTTCATGTACATTTTCACTAATCAGAAAGTGTTAATAAAACTTTTTAAATATCTATCGTATTCCTAGAGAATAACAGAAACTCAGACAGTTTAATGTGAGCAATGAAATTAATCATATGAACTCTATGCAAGTCTATCAAATCTTGCTCTCAGGTCTATGCAAGTGTAAACTGAATACCTCAATTAATTTGGAAGAGTAACTTCCATACTGATACATGCAAATTATGCATTTTTAACCTTCATTCCAATAAGAAAAGTTGCAATCATCTTATTTTGTAGACTGAAATGTTCATATTCAATTTGTACACATTATTAAGCTATTCTTGAGGAATACACTAACTTCCCACATTATTAATAGGCCGAGAGTGCTCGATGATGCCTTCAACTGTCAATTGGCTAAGATATCTTCTCCTCCAAAATATTCAATGCGTAAGTTCACACTAAAGTTCAGAGGATGCCTACAGTTAATTGTTCTGAAACTACTATTTGTTTTGATATTCCTATTTTTCTTATAAAAATAGTCAGCATTTATATTCCAACTTACTATAACCCATAATAAGGTATCATAAAATGAGTTCATCTTAGATCAGCTAACTAAAGTGCACAGTTCAACTCCACAATTATTAAGCATCTAATATATTCTAGGCTGAAAGATTTTAAAAGGAGCTATTCCAACAAAAGGGGTAAAGAATTATATATTATACATATTAAAAACATATACATATTAAAAACAAGGAATGTTAGAAAAAAGTCTACGGAATGAAATGAAGCTAATAGGATTTGTTAAAATTTTAGTTTACCATCAGATTCATCAAAACATTTAAATACTCTATTGAGTCCTTTGATATTAATCAAATTATGTAAACCAATAATTTGAATTGATTTTATTTATGTAGATGTGATATGTGTATATAGGTAGATGTATGTATGTATGTGCACTTGAATTTGTACTTATATAGATGTGTGTGTGTATATGTATATGTATGTGTGTGTGTGTATATATATATCTCACATACATCTGCTCAAAATAAAACAGACCAATATTCTGAAAACTCAAGCAAATATGTTACCTGTGTTTACCCTACAATTATCTATCATAAAAATAAAAGGGTGCAGAATGAGTCCTATTTCATCACCAGCTGTAATGGTTCATTGGTCCTTAATTGTTCTCTCATGTAGTTGTATAATGTTATTTCAACCAAATAATATTTTTCAAAACTTATTTTCAATAATTTTATTTCCTCAATACCATAAAAGGTGATGTCCAGTTTCAAGTTTGATGTAGGTACTTTCTTGCTGGTGGAGACACCAAGAAAATTCAACAAAATCACTATTTCTTCGGTATATTTAGTGGAATACACAATGCCAAAACAAGACTCTATAAGTAAAATCACTAATAATTCTTCCAAACAAAACATAGTTGTTACTACAATAAAATAGCAGCAATTTGTAATGACTATAACAGAGCTCACCTGTTCATTTTTGCAAAGCCACACACTGTTTCCACTTAACACAGTAAAAATTTTTGCCTTATAGCCTCTCAATTCAAGATATCCACATTTCTCAGGTGTAACAATGCCTTGAGACTGTGAGGTAAGGGATTGTGATTTCAGTGCATTTAATAGTATGCTGATCCAGTCATTTCTCTCCTCTGAAAATAAAGACAGGAGAAAATACATAAATCCATACATAAGTCACATAGATACAGAAACGTCAAGAAGAAATCCACGCTCTTTGCAACACATAAGTGACAGAATCTTTCCACAACTACAATCTAAATGTTACTGTAAATACGGCCAATGACTCAATTCTTTGAGGGAAAGGGAGTAACACTATCCAGTTTTCGTGAAATGAGTTCCATTGGCTTTACCTGAGAGTTTATTAGAAGTGCAAAATCTCAGGCCCTACTCCAGACCTGATGAATCACAGGCTGTATTTTCAAAAGAACTACAGATGTTCCTTATCCCTTTTAATATCTGAGAAGCCCTCTTTTAGATCATTCATTAGATTAGATTTTCTTTTAATAGAAGAATGTGATATTGCTACCCAACAATTAACAGCTTTTATGTTTCAAGTCAGTTACTCAAAGACCCCAAAAATCCTACTTTCAAACCCACTCTAGAGTATGCCTGCTTCAGTGTCACTTTCCCTTTCCACTCTTAACACATTAATTAACAATAGCATTTCACCTGGCAAATTAAAATTTGGTTCTCCTACTCCTTCCACAAAACTAAGTGACCTTCAATTATGAACAATGCACTGTGTTACAGGCATAGGAATTCGATCTAGTCCCCAAGGAGCAATTAAAGCTATAAGTCAAGCAAGATTTGAACACAAAATGGAACACAGTAGTATAAATGTCATATAAATGGTATCAAATAATATATGAGTCAATTGAGATAAGTGATTTGCTGAAGGTCATATAGCAAGTTAGCTTTAAAATAAGCAGAATCACATGTTTTAACTCTCGAACAACTTTTCTTGGAACCATGGGGGTAAAAAAGAGGTACATGTGGTAGATCTTGAGAATGAAGAGCAATTCAAAAGACAAAACTGGAATTTGGAAGAGGGAAGATAATAGGATTCTGAGCAGAGGTTACTATAAGAACAAAGGCAGAGGGAGGCCGAGACGGGCGGATCACGAGGTCAGGAGATCAAGACCATCCTGGCTAACACGGTGAAACCCCGTCTCTACTAAAAATACAAAAAACTAGCCGGGCGAGGTGGCGGGCGCCTGTAGTCCCAGCTACTCCGGAGGCTGAGGCAGGAGAATGGCGTAAACCCGGGAGGCGGAGCTTGCAGTGAGCTGAGATCCGGCCACTGCAGTCCAGCCCGGGCTACAGAGCAAGACTCCGTCTCAAAAAAAAAAAAAAAAAAAAAAAAAAGAACAAAGGCAGAAAAACCAACATCCATTCAGGGATAATTTATCAATGAATATATTTATAATTCTGAACTCACACGGAAATAATGGGAATATGACCACAGAATTCATACTGCCTGTTTAGGAATGTTGTCTTTATTACAAAGGAAAACCATTTCAGCATTCTTAGCAATAAAAAGACATTATGATAATACAGACAATGACAGGTAGACTACACTGGAAGCCTGAAGCTCAGGAACCAGACAACGGAGACTTAAAATACTGTGAAAATGGAAACAAAATGACTTACGAGGAATTAAGGCATTTAGGAGAGTGAAAAAAATTAGTTGTACAAACATGATGGGTGTTGATAAGAAAAACAAATTACTTAGAATAAAAGGTAACATGGCATCAGAAATTGGCCAGGCAAACAAGGAGAATCCAATTAGTTAACAGAACAACCTCAGGTTTTCAGTGCCGTGCCTTGAGCATCCAGGCAGACTGATAGCACTATGTGAACAACAGTAACCTGTACATGAGAAGACCCATGGAAATGAATAAACATGAAGTGTAAAAGGGGAAGAAACTGGCAAACCTTGAGGTACAACTATGTCTATAAGGCTGGAAATTGGGCTACCAGAACATAGGGAGAAGTAGTTGTCAAAGCAAAAGGAAATAAAGCAAAACATACTGAATCACAGGTAGTAAAAGTTTTCACAGGATGAAGGAAGAAGAGAAAGTAGGGCCCAGTTTGGGAAATGGGACAGTTTCTCAGATCCTTCTCAGACAGGTCTGCCCAGTGACTTAATTGTGGATTGAAATAAGTTACCATATTAAACTTACTCATATTTAAACATGACTCCACAGTTATTTCATAATGAATCTTACTTTTTCAATTATAATTGTTCTTGTTCACCTTCAAAACTAATAAAAACAGTTGATTGTGTCTTTAATGACCAAAGTCAAAATGTTTATTTAAAAACTTATTCAATAGTGCGTTATTGCAGGTGTCACACAATCTTCCAGGAATTGGTGCTTGATAGCTGGGTGTGGTGTCCCACACCTGTAATCCCAGCACTCTGGGAAGCCAAGAGCGGAGGATCATTCGAGGTCAGGAGCTCAAGACCAGTCTGGCCAACATGGTGAAACCCAGTCTATACTAACAACACACACAGAAAATTAGCTGGGCATGGTGGCAGGTGCCTGTAAGCCAAGCAACTCAGGATGCTGAGGCATGAGAATCACTTGAGCCCGGGAGACTAAGATCGCAGTGAGCCCAGATCGTGCCACTGCACTCCAGCCTGGGCAACAAGAGTGAAACTTCGTCTCAAAAAAAAAAGGAATTCCTGCTTGTTGCAATACATCAGGATGAAATATTTATCAAATGTCCCTAGTATTGTTATACATCCTAAACTAAAAGACATTAAAATATTCAAGTAGCTAAGTCAATGTCAATATGCAGCAGCTACTCTACATTTTTCCATCTGCATAAACAGATCCAGATTGCACTACAATAATTTATTATATTTTCAGTTACAGCAACAGACCTTCCACTTAACTTGGTTATTACTTGTGATCATTAGTTTCACACAAGATATTCCTGCCGAGTAAATGGTACATAATGGTTGTTTGTTTCTTTATTTGTGCTAATCCATATAAACCACTGTGTTTGAAACATAGGTCATAATTTAATGAGTTGGGCCTAAGTGTCTATGGCTTTTAGATTACTGCTAGCATATATTTCCGTTTCTCAGGAATTAATTTAAAACTGGCAATTGCACCTGTTGGAACTAAGCTTACTTTGGCTGCATCTCAACACGTAGCCTAGAAGAATTATCTAGCTCCTGAGGGCCTCAGTTACTAAAAGGAAGTAAACAATCATGACGAAGAACAGGAATTAATAGTAACATTCAGTTTATTCTGAATTACCCATGCCAATGGAAAGAAACAATGGAACAGATAATCCAAACACAATAAAATAGATTACAAGTGTCATCTGTATTCGGCCATACAATGTGTGCATCCTGAGATATAGGGGAATATGCTTTCATAAGTCACAACATTCCAAACCAAATAATGATTTCCTGTTGGACAAGAGTCTAGGGCAAAGTCAGATACTGTACTAGCTTTTGCTTGTTCTTCAAACCAAGATACTTTTTATTCTTTTCAATAACAAATATCTATTGAGTGTCTATCTTGATCTTAGCACTGTGCTAAGCACCATTTCTCCAGGAAACAAGCTCTGACCTAGATATGGCTTGGCTCTAAGAATAGCATTCCAGGCTGGACAAAAAGAAAGGGAGTGGAGAACACAAAGAATAAGTGTTGAAATTGCCATTTTTTTGTGATTATGCTAGAATGTAAATAAAATACAATAGCAAATTCCTAAAACCTCAAATAAGTTCTTGATGGTTTCAGGAATGGCAACTTAGAGTATAAGAACAATAATAATAAAAAAAGAGCTTTAAGAAAAATCGAGACAATATTCTCTGGACTACTGGGTTTAGCAGTAGGCATACTCCTTAGTAACAAGGGATTGGTTACACTAGAGATTGCTACATAAGGGCCATGCAAAACATCAACAACATTATCTAATAAAGTTTAGCTGGACCTTTACTTTTGATATGATAGTATGATCTAACTAAAGTTCCCTCAATGAAATTCCTGATCAATATCAGAGAAGGAAGTAGTGCGTGCACATAAGGATTGTTCTTCAAATTGATAGCCACTCACTCGTACAAATACTCACTAAGCCTACTATGTTCCAAAACCTATTCTGAATACCAGGAATGGAACAGTGAACAAGACTGACCATGACCTTACTCTCCTGGAAGTTTACACGCTAGTGAAAGGAGGAAGGCCATATAAACTTAAATATACATTACAAAGTGGCAAGTGCAATTGATAACATACACAAGATGAGGGGCCTAGGGAGTGCTATTTTGTACAGGATACATAAAAAGCCTCAGAAGAAGGGGATGGTTAACCAAAAACCTAAAGGAAGAGGAAGTAAAGAAGCAGGTCCCAGCTGAGGAGCAGGCAGAGGAAGAGTATTCCAGGATAAGGTGAACATGTAACAAGGCCCTGAGACAACAGCAGATTTAGTGTATTCAAGGAACAAAAGGCCTCTGTAGGTGAACCAACCATAGTACAGGAGAAAGGGAACAGAAAAAGATAGGACAGAAAGACCAAGGCCAGATTATGCAGGGGTTTTTGGACATCACAAGTACTTTTTACTCTCAGTAAGATGCAGAAACCGGCTGGGCGCGGTGGCTCACTCCTGTAATCCCAGAACTTTGGAAGGCCAAGGCAGGCAGATCACAAGGTCAGGAGATGGAGACCATCCTGGCTAACATGGTGAAAACCTTATCTCTACTAAAAATACAAAAAATTAGCTGGGCGTGGTGGCACACACCTGTAGTCTCAGCTACTTGGGAGGCTGAGGTAGAAGAATCACTTGAACCTGGGAGGTGGGCGTTGCAATGAGCCGCAATCGCACCACTGCACTCCAGCCTGTGTGACAGACACTCCATTTCAAAAGGAGGAAAAAAAAAAAAAAAAGATGCAGAATCCATGGAGGATGTAAAGTGAACTGACATGATTTGACTTCCTTACTGAATAACTGCTCTGATAAGTACAGGAAAAATATAACAACAGTTGATCATGAGAGATGATTAAAACAATCCTGATAGCAGTGGAGTTGTTGAGAATTGGTCAGCATCTAAACACACTTTCAAAGTCAAACTGACAAGATTTGCTGATGGACTAGATGTGAAGTGACAAGAAAAAGATTCAAGAATAACTCCACACTTCATGGCCTAAGCACCTGAGGCTTCTATTTGCTGAGATGAGGAAGATTACAAGGGAGAAAGTCTGGTTGAGCAGGTGGAAATGGGAATTTTGATACATTAAGTGTGAGGTGCGACTAGGCAGCCATGTTGACATGTCAAGTAGGCTGCTGGATATGACCGTGGAGCACAGGAAGAGGTCAGAGATGGAGATACATATTTGACATCAGTCACCCTAAAACCAAGAGATCGCCTTCAAAACCAGACTTGGGGCCCCACAATTGAATATTTTAAACAGAATTTGGAGTCCTAGCAAGTTCCTAAAATACATTATGTCAGAAACTTCCAGAATATCATGAAGTCTTCAAAGGAAACACTTAGCAAATCATCATTAATGAGATTAAGGAGGGTGAGTAAGTAAAGGGATAATAAATGTTTCATGCCTTGCTTATAAAAACACTGACGATTTCAAAAGAGGTAAGAGTCTGCTTGCCAAAAACAACTAAGGAGGGCATTTATATGTTCTTCTAAAAAATTTTAAAATTAAAACAAAGACTTTTCCATATCAGTTTCAGAGCTGCCACTGGATGGCTGTAGGATGTTGTCTAAAAGCAGAATTGAGAGACAGCCACAGGGTGTAGAATCTGCTAAGGTGGACAGAAGCATAGGGCCTGCAGGTGAGCGCCAGTTCTGAAAATGGCCTTGGAAAGGGAATGCCCACTCAAAATTCTTAAGCTCTCTTCTAACCATGAGAACTGTGCACTCAAAACATCACGAGTGTTTTGAAGTATCATATCTCCATGTGTGACTACAGGTGCAAAGGAATACAGACTGATTGGAGAGATCAATAGCTGTTATGACCCGCAGACCAATTCCAGTGACTCTGCTTCAGAACAACAGCAGTCAGACCAAATTTTGTACTTGGGGAAGTGTTCCTTTTAAATGTTATTATTTCAATAAAATTCACTTGAAACTAAGAGAAGAACAATATTTCATTAGGAAACGGCGGGGGAGGGGAATAGAAGCCTTAGAACACTTGCGAGGAAGAGATTCCAAACTATAATCCTGTCTTAGTAACACCAGGGGGTCATGCAGCAGTTTAGAAGTAATAACACTGGTCAGGGAAGACAAAGAATAGCTATTGTAGATAGGTCAAAGCCTTTTCACCAAAAATAAAGAATTCATATCTGTTAAGATGACAAAACTTTTTCCTTTTTGTTCTAAACTTTGATTTTGCTTCTTCCCTCAATCAAAATAGACTTTAATTTAGCTTAAAGTTCATTAAGTCAAAGTCCTTAAGCCACTATAGTTGATCTACCAATTCCCACAAAATAAAAATAATCAATCATTTGTATACACGGAAGGAAAAAAGATCACTTAATAAAACATATTTAGTATCCTGTTGAACGTTCCATACTAAACATACAGATACATAAACATATACATATATATATGTACACACACCACTACACATATTTATCTTTAAAATTGTGAGTTGTTACTATGTAAAAATAACTTTCAATCAAAATAACTCATTCACTAATTCCATGTGTATACAGTCTGTTTTCACTGAAGCAATATGTCTTTGGTTTCAAAAATTAAAGACCTACAACTTATTTTTAAAACAATAAATTTATACTGAAGTTAATGAAATTTTTATACTGTCCTAAGTTTATATAACAAAGATGAACTATACACCACAGAAGGATTTATCTGTCAGTTGTGAACATGCAACTTTTAAACATGTGTGGGTTGGTACACTCTACTTAAATAAAACGTGTCTGTTTAACTTAGTAAATATGGCTAAACAGATTTTCATACAAGTTGGAAGCTTTATTTAGTATGTCTATCTTAAAATGCAGGCTAGGTAGCAATGTGAAATTTATTTGGAGAGGCCAAGAGAAAGGTGATAAGCACCTCAAAGAAACAGGCAGCTAACTTTCACGGTGGTGGAAACCAAACCATAAAGAAACACTGCCAGGATAGTCATTCAAGAGAAGCAATGCCATGTTCTTCAAGAAATACAGTAAGAGAAAAACTGTGATTTCAAATGGAAGTCCCATATCAAGTATCACAACTGTGGAAAATTTTCTGAATTTCAGACAGTAATTCACAAAAAGTGGCTCCTCATACATACAGGTAATTCTAGGTAAAATGCTTGAGGGCAGGGGTTTGCAAACCTTTTCTTTGAAAAATCAAAGAGTAAACATTTTAGGCTTTACTGGCCGCAGTCTGTGCCACAACTACTCAGTGATACCACTGAGTGAGAATGAATGAGAAATGAATGAATGACAGTGGTTGTTATCTAACAAGACTTCATTTACAAAAACAGGCACTGAGCCAGATTAAGGCTGCAGATCAGTTTGCTGACCCCTACTCTGGGACTCTAGCTTTAGTTCAACATTATTTTTAAAAACTAAGAAAGAAACTTTTTTTAAATGCTACATCTATACACTATGTACATAGATAGATATGTTTCACAACATAACACCTACTGTAGGCAATGCACTTTGATATTTATTATTTTCTGTTTGGGTTTTGTTTTTTTATTGAGGGAGAGTGTTTCCGGTGACATCATAAACCACTAAGTTGATCTCAGTAATCCACAGTTTGAACCACGCTGCTCCAGTGTGAAGGTCTGCTGGAATGTACCCATTTACTAAGTACCCCAAGAAACAATGGAAATGTTTTAGTGGTATATAATATTTACTGACTGCTTTTTATGTGCTATGCACTGACATCCATGCCAGGAATCTAGCAGTTTAAAATAAAGAAAATGTTGCCCCATAATAGTTAACACTGTAGTCATTTCCAACTAGTGGTGAACACTCTAATCTGTAAAAATAGGATAATAATGGCCAGGCACAATGGCTCATGCCTGTAATCCCAGCACTTTGGGAGGCCGAGGCGGTCAGATCACCTGAGGTCGGGAATTAGAGACCAACCTGACCAACATGGTGAAACCCCGTCTCTACTAAATACAAAAAAATATATATATATTAACTGGGCGTGGTGATGCATGCCTGTAGTCCCAGGTACTTGGGAGGCTGAACCAATCGCTTGAACCCACGAGGCAGAGGTTGCAGTGAGCCGAGATTGCACCATTGCACTCAAGCCTGGGCAACAAGAGTGAAACTCTGTCTCAAAAAAATAAAGGATAATAATTGTAATACTACCTACATTATAAGACTGTTGTGAAAATGAAGAATTAGTAAAGTGTCTGGCACATATCAGGTATTCAGTCAATTTCCCATACCATTATTATTCAAATAATTAAAGCACAAAGAAGTACTTCTAAAAATTACGTTGAATTATATATCTATTCCTAAATAAAAGTTGTCTATAAGTTAAAATCATAATTCTTAATGAGATGGTATTACCTAAATTACTAAAACTAGTAAATTTATAGTAATGACATATTACGATAATCAAATAAAATACACAACAAAGAACTTTTAACTTCTCTGGGTCCTCCCCCACCCTTATTCAAACAAAATTCAGAAAAGATTCCTCTACACACATTTAAACTCAATCCAGAAAACATGTGCCATCTTTGGGATCAGCTTTTACCATCAAGTGTCCCATAGATTATGTAGATGAAAAGAATTCAAGAAATATAAAAGATGCTCCTAAATCTACAATAGAATGATTACTGTACCTGTGCGGTCAGCTAAAGCAGGGGTCCCCAAACCCCAGGCCATGGACTGGTACCATTACATGGTCTGTTAGGAACAGGGCCACACTGCAGGAGGTGAGCAGCAGGCAAGCCAGCGAAGCTTCATCTGCATCTACAGCCACTCCCCACCACTGGCATTACTGCCTGAGCTCCACCTCCTGTCAGATCACCGGGGGCATTAGATTCTTACAGGAGTACAAATCTACCGTAAAATATGCGTGCAGGGAATCTAGGTTGCGTGCTCCTTATGAGAGTCTAATGCCTCATGATCTGTCACTGTCTCCCATCACCCCTAGATGGGGCCATCTAGTTGCAAGAAAACAAGCTCAGGGATCCCACTGATTCTACATTATGGTGAGCTGTATAATTATTTCATTATATACAATGTAATAATAATAGAATTAAAACACACAATAAATGTAATGTGCTTCAATCGTCCAGGAACCATCTCGCCACAACCAGTTCACGGAAAAGCTGTCTTCCACGAAACCAGTCCCTGGTGCAAAAAGGTTGGGAGTCACTGAGCTAAAGCCTGCCATAAATGTCCATAAAACCAACTAATAGTTAGAAAAATTGTTTTTGCGTATCAAATAACCATTTTGCATTATTTGCAACATCTCAAAGGCTAGCTCCAAGAAAGCAGAGAATTTTGTCCACTTTTTTTTTCACAACTGTATACCCAGAACGTATGAGTCCTCAGCACACAATAGCTTCTCACTAAATATTTGTTGATGAAAGAGAAAACAAATAACTTGTTAACTTATTTATGTTTAACATTATGCATTTGAAAAATTAATTTTAAAATGTAAATTATCAAAAAGTAATATATTTAAAGGTCTCTTGACATTCCTAGTCTAACTGATTTATTAATATGATTACTCATAAATTAATGTAAGTATTTCATGGGGATAAAAAAATAATCTTACCTTCTTTTTCTACTCTAAAAACAAAAGTTCTTTGTGTTGTAACAACTTCAAATTTGTTGTCTCCTTGAACTCGTACTGTTGATATAGCAGAAAGGGGAATTATTCCTTTTGAATACATCTCCTGTATTGGTTAGAAAAAAAAAGAAGACATATGAAAATGAAATTCTCTTGATCTTATCAAAAAGGAATGGCACGCTATTTACAACTGCTTCTCTTTTATAATTTCAATCCAAATTTTTTAAATGACATACAAGTAATACGTCCACTCATACTCTCAAGTAATACCCAAGGAAAAAAACTATTAAATGTCCCCTTCTTTGAAGTGAGATGTCTTTTCAACTTTCTCTTCATCTGGAATTAAAAGAGAAAGAATCAAATACAAGCAATCCTACGAGACTAGCAATACAGAGTTCCAAAAACCAGCAGCATGTTCTTTAAAACCATCTGCTCAATATGATTTTATGGTGTTTGCAGGCATCTGCTGGTCACAACAGGTACTGTAACTGAACCATTTTAAAACAAGTCTGTTACATATTCGGAACCAAAATATATCTTAAACACATACTGGGTTTTCTAAATTAACCATGTTACTCAAAGCTCTGACGATGAGCATCTCAACCTCACACTGAATCATTTTAATGTTTACTCGCCAACGAATAAAGAATAAAAAAGACAGATTTATCTGTTTCCAAACAGCATATAAGTATTACAAATTTTGTTTTTAAAAAAAGGCCATTCTTAGGACTTTGATAACTTTTTATCCATCTTCATTTTCCTGGACCCTCTAAAATCATGTCGTGATAACTACTGCACAATTTCAACTCTTGACATTTTCTGGATCTCGTGTTGGAAAGAAAATTCAGAGTGTTTATACTTTCAAGGAGCCTCAAAATGAAAAGCCAGCTAATGCAATGAGAGAAGAGTTTAAAACTGAGTAAAATCTAAGGGATATAAAAGTACAAAGATGGAAAATCTCAATTCTGCTTAAAGGCTGTGAGGGGTATCTTTACAAACATGGTGGTATTTAAACCTGACTTTTAAAAAAACCTTAATTTTAAGCAGACAGACAAGTGTGTGGGAGGCATTCTGGTCAAAAAGACCGAATAATGGAGGCGTAAAACAGAGAAATAAGAGGACAACAATGTAGAGTCAAAAGACTGGAGACTGATAACGCATACCAAGCCACATTATAGAAGGTCTGGAATATTAGAAGAGTTTGGATACATCCTTAAGGGATTTCTTTTTCTCTTCCCTTCCACAGCATTATCCTTACAACTCACACTTTTGAGCAGGTCCCAGACATAACTGTTTCGGGAAAAAAGCAAACCATTCCATGCAGGAAGCAAGTATTAAGTTTAATATTTCTCCTAGCCATAAACTCCTGCCTTAGCAACTGGTAAGGGACAGTCATCATTAGCATCATGGAATTCTACCAGAAGGATATCCTCTTCTGCTATTTAAGGAGATACACTATATCATCATGGCATTATCTCTGAGTATTTTTTTAAGTTTCTTCTCCTTCACTAGCTCTGTTACAGTCTCCCATCCCTGCCTTTATTTATCCATCAAAATCCTATCCATTCTTTAATGTAACCTTAAATACGAATGCAATGAAGGCTCTCCTACGTCCTCCCACGCAGCCAAAACTGAGTATGGTATATGAGCTATGATTCAGGAAGATGAATGGGCAACCTTATACAGAAAAGAGAGAAGGATGTCAAGAAATAAGCACTTAGTAAACAACTTATTTCTTCTCCTTTTTATTTTATCTTCTCTTCCTATAAAAATCCCTTTCCACTATTTTTTTAATTGTTTAAATTAACACATAATAATTGTTCATATTTATGGGATACATAGTGATGTTATGATACAGTGATGTCGTGATACATATAAAATGTAATGATCAGATCAGGTAATGGGCATATTCACCATCTCAGATATTTATCATCTCTCTGCGTTGGAAACATTCAATATCCTCCTTCTGGCTATTTGAAACTATATTAAATTAGTGTTAACTACAGTTATCCTACACTGCTATAGAACACTAGGACTTATTCCTCCTCTCTAGCTGTAAGTTCCTGCCCTTTAACAAATCTCTTCCTATGTCCTCCTTCTTCCTACCCTTCACAGCCTCTAGTATCCTCTGTACTACTTTTTACTTTGGTAAGATTCACTTTGAAAAAGGCTTCCTCATGAGTGAGAATATATACTGTTTAACTTTCTGTTCCTGGCTTATTTCACTTAATATAATGTCTTCCAGCTCTACCAACTTCATTCAGAGTAATCTAAAATTTCTCTCTTCCTTTCTTACCTATTCATTTCACTCAATTTCACTGTCATATTTCAAGTAATCAATAGTTTATGTAACTATCTCATATGTACCACAAACTTTAAAACTGAATTTACTTTCACCTGAAGACTTACGCTCTCTTTATACCTGTCCATTAAAATATCAACTCTTCTAGTCCCTCTGAAATAGAATGAAGTCATCTTTGACCTTTGCTGGTTCCTTTGCACCCACATAACTTGCATTCTCCCCACATGTAGAATCAGCTTCCTCCCCACCACTCACCAGCTCTGAATTACTGTCACGCTGGTTTTCTTGAGGTTTCCTGAATATATCACATTTCTACCCAAGCCAGTGCCTTTGCATACACTGTTTGCTCTGCAAGGAATTGTTTTAACACCCATCTGCACATACTTACTGCCTCCTCCTCCTTCATATTTCAGCATAAATATATCCCCCTGAAGAAAGTCTCTCTGACCAGCACAATCTCTCAGGCCCCTCATCCTCGCAGATAACCCTAATTTAAGCTAACAGCAACCTGAATTTTTCCTTTATAAAAATTATTCATTGTAATTTAAACGGTGACTTTATATTTACCCATGTGATCATTTGATTAATATAGTCTCCCGAAATAGGCTTCAGGTCATTTATCTATGTTCCTCACCACCTTTCATTTTATCTATGTTCCTCACCACCTTTCACCACCTTTCATCTATGTTCCTCACCACCTTTCTATAGTATAGCTAATACTATAGAAATATTTTCTGAATGGCTCATTTTTAGTATTTCTTGAAATTCATTTCTTATCACTTCCGCTGAGCATCCACTGAGCCTATACATTAGTCTACATGCTAATAAATTAACACCTGGCTTAGTGCAACAGTCTCCTGATTTGCCTCCCTACTTTCAGTTTGTTTTCCTTCTGAATTTTCCTGCATATTGTTTTTCAAATGTCATACGTTGGAGAAAATAAAGAAAAGACTCATGGAGGTGAATAACGAGATGGGTCTGATGTTTGCACAGAATGTTGATGGATGGCAACGGCTAGGGAGTCTCAGACGGAAGAACAAAAACACAAGGGGAACATGTAGGAAAAGACATGCTCCAGTTTCCCATAGTGTATATTCAGTCACTGTTTAAAAAGATCATTAGGCAGAGACACATGACATGATTGGCTTAACAAAGCAAACCCTACAAACGCAAGTAGGTTAAAATGGCAATACAAGGCCAAAACTAGACCAATAAGTGCTCTAGAAACTCAAAAGAGGAAGATAACATCTTTCCACTGTCGGTCAACCTAAGGAGGTGGGAAAGGGCACGGCATCTTTGGGGACAGTGTAAAAGCCCCTCTCCTCGAAGTCTGTAGTGGCTGAGACCAGACAGCAGGAATTAGAATGCCTAAAAACATTTACAGTTTATCCCCTACGTGATCTGTTTCCAAATTGTAGTTTGCATAAGAATTAAAGGAACTTATAACAATATCCCTCTAGAGAGATAATTAACTATTTGTTGAGGAAAATGTTAACAGTAACCCATTTTGTCACTAGAAATAAGTCAAGTAGCACTGTACTGAAAGAAACAGGGATCAAAAAAAGATTGTCTTTCCAATAGATCCCGTTAAAGAGAAGATAATTCCTTAATAAATAACCTACACATCTATAACGATATATTTAACAAGCAAATATTTCTGGTAGAATAATATAAAAACATAATTCCCCAGAGGTGATCAAAATATACTTAACAAGCAAAATACTATGTCACTATAATCATAGAAAGTTGTAGTTTATCTAATGGCTCATTTAAAATCTGAGATCCCAAGAAAAATCTTGTAATTTTTAACACTGTAGCACGGATTTTTGTATTTGTCTTGCAACAGTACAAGATAAAGACAATAAAAAAAAATACTCAAATGACAACAATGCTCACAATGCCTGTGTTTTTCAGAGTATAAAATTTTCCTTAAGGAAAGAAATTTTAAAGCATCCCTTGAGCCTATAACACACAGATATCTAGGTCAAGTTTGTCATTTATCTACCATTTTGAGACAATGAAACGATCACAGGGCAATTCTGCCACAGCTGGGTGAAAACGGGGGTGAGTTAGATTTCTTTATAGGGGATAAAATATCAGGGCTGTTTGGATCATGCCATTTTCTGTGATATAATGAAGAAGTCCTTACAGAGACATGATTGGCGGCCTCAAGGAAAGTGGAAGAAACCTAGTGAATGTGTAACTCTGCACACTACCTCCCAAAGGCCCAACCACATGCTCCTCAAGTGCCCATTTAAACATTAAAAGAACTGTGCTCAGTTCACACAGCTGTTAACACTGGGTCACCCAGCCACGACAGCGGCTATGGCCACACCTATGCATCCCTTGTGCTAGAAGAGTTACAACAGAAACCATGCCTCCTTTTAGGAAACACCGAATCCAGTGTTTCTATTTTTTGCCAAAATGAAACCAACCATCTAGACAATAAATGGATGAAATGTCAAAGAAAATAACAACTTAAACTTTTTAATATTAAGCTAAATGATTTGCAATATCTCATTTTTATATGAACTTTTTAATCTCAATTTCAAACCAAGCTTCATCATTTTCATTGCATCAATAACTAAAAATGTGAGAGGTCCTCATCTCTTCACTGCAGTTCAGATGAGCTTTAAAAGAACAAACTGAGAGAAAGAGGGAAAAACAATCCAGTTTGACACAGTTACTAGAAATTATGTCAAATGAAAATAATGGTATCACCAACAACAGTCTTATGGCATGGAAGCCTGTCTCACTTCTGAGTAGTTTTCCTCCTCATTTCAATCAAACCAGAAAACGTTACAGGTGATGGAGAAAACCAGCAGTGAGATTCTGTCAGCTAAACAGACTACCTTCTACTCACCCTAGGGAACAATTTGTCTTAACATTCAAATGTACAAGCAAACTAGAAAAAAAAAAATAGCTAAAACAGAAAACAGCTTTTAAGGCTGGTCACGGTAGCTCATGTCTGTAATCCCAGCACTTTGGGAGGCCAAGGCGGCAGATAACTTGAGATAAGAAGCTCGAGACCAGCCTGGCCAACATGGTGAAACCTTGTCTCTACTAAAACTACAAAATTAGCCAGGCACGGTGGTGCGCACCTGTGATCCCAGCTACTTGGGAGGCTGAGGCAGGAGAATTGCTGGAACCCAGGAGGCAGAGGCTGCAGTGAGCCAAGATCGTGCCACTATACTCCAGCCTGGGCGACACAGCAAGACTTTGTCTCAAAAAAAAAAAAAAAAAAAAAACCCCACAGCTTTTCAAAAATATTCATCCAACCATCTTGTAAACCTCCAAGAGGTGTGTTTATACCCATTTGATGCTCTGAGTCACTGCAAAGTGAAACCAAACAATTAACACCTCTCTATATCTTCCATAATTCTCAGCCATAGAGCATGCAGTGTGTGTTATGTTGCACTATGTGTTACTGTCTGTCTAAAAGCATATATTCTTCTGTCCTGCAGCAATAAAGCAGCAATATGTAAGAAGATGCCCAAATTTCTATTAGAACCATAGGTATTGCCAATATTAGGGGGTGAAAATCTCTAAATAATGAGAAAATAATGTTAGATTAAGAGTTACAAAAAAAAAAAAAAAGCATGTGGTTAAATCTTAAAATTAGTGTGTTAAGAGAAAGTACATACTTAAGACAAAAATCATCTGATTTTAATTAACTAAGCATATGGTACGATATTTATTAGTTGCAACTTCAAATTCTTTTCATGTTGAGAAACCACCTCCTATTCTTAAAAACCAAACCGCTTGCTTACTTTACTGAAGTACACCTAGTATGCATAAAAAAGCAATTTTTGAAAACTGTAAAATGTATTTACCTTCTCATTATTGTAGTAAGAAATGCTAAGGCCATCAAATTTCACCCATCTCTTCTGAAACATGCGTTTTCTGCAAAAGATATGAAATTGTTATTTTACATTTAAGTATATGAACTTAGATTGTTAAATACATGTGTAATGTAACCGAGTAAATATATTATCATTTATTGTTAAACAGCATAGACAACGATAGGTGATGACAATATATAGCATTGGCCATGGCACATAGGAAAAAATAGCATAATAGTACTTTCTAATCAGTTGACCTAGGAATTTTTTTTTATGACACAATTAACAGTGTTGTCGCACACATTTGTAAGGTTGAGTGCAAAATAAAATATGGTCAGAAACACTATCACTCAATCCATTTCTAATAATAAAGATAATCCTTTCATCAAAATAATACAAGCTTTCATCCCTCATTAAGCTTATATATCTATTTTATGTTCCCTTCACTTTTGTTTTAGGGCATAAATATCTTACTAAAATAACAAGGCTTTGTCAATTGGATTTACATGGAAAACACATTTAATTTTGATTGAATAAGTTGAAGAAGACCTGAACAAATATACAGAATCATTTATAAGCATTCAAAATTCAGTGAAACATTATTTTTAAATGATCATATGAAAGGCAAAGGTAGTTTAAAATGGCTACTGACATGAAAAACAAAAGCAAAATAATATAATCACAGGTTTCAGACTTAAAAGAAAAAAGAAACTATTTTTCTGACTATATAAGGAAGAAAATGAAGAACTGTTTTCACTTAGAATTGCTTTTTATTTTTATTTTATATTCTCCTTCCCTGAAGGCAGACAATCGTAGGTACTTTTGGTCTTTAACACAGAAAACACATGAAAAGGAACTCCCTATTTTTAAAAAATATTATTTCTAAACAAACATCAACCCTGTCTACCTTGTGCTTTTGCAATTTTCTAAAATGTTTAAAACAAGGAGTTGGCATAACTTTCCTTGGCTCTCAGAAGACTTAACAAAAAAAGAACTTCAGGAAGTGTAGAGAGCTTGTCTCTGAGCTGGTTCCCCAGCCACACATCTATTATGCAAGTGAAACACAGCAAGCCTCCCAAATTAATCGTTAGCAAATATGTTCTGCATAAGATAAAATTATACCAAATCTGATCAAATATAAGAAAAAGTTTTTGAGCTTCTTCAGTGCAGACATTTTCACATACAAGCACTGAATTAATTATGATGTAATAAGATCATGTAAAGATCTTAAAAGCATGTAACCACTTCATATTTAACTGTAATTACAGAAAAATAAAATAAAAATTTTGACCAGGGGTGGTCACTCATGCTTACAATCCCATCACTTTGAGAAGCTGAGGTGGGTGGATCACTGGGTAACATGGCGAAACCCTGTCTCTACAAAATATATTAAAAAAAAAAAAAAATAGCCGGGCACGGTGGTGCACACCTGTTGTCCAAGCTATTTGGGAGGCTGCAGTGAAAGGATCATTTGAGCCCAGGAGGTTAAAGCTGCAGTGAGTTATGACTGTACCACTGTACTCTAGCCTGGGCGACACAGTGAGAGCCCTATCTCAAAAAAAAATCACTTTAAAAGCATGTTACCACAACTGACTACCCAGCCCTCTTTCCATCATATTTTTCATCTTTCGGCTTCTTTTTTAACTTTTCTTGGCCTGTCTGCAATGGGTTTTCCTCACTTTGCAACATCCAACGGTGTTAGAGGCATCTAGCTTTTACTTTTTCCAGCAACCCAAGGTTCCTTAAATTATCAGCATTAAACGTTAAAAGATAAAGCTATATTAAGCAAACACACAATAATTATACACTGGATAAATTAGTCACTTTTTGCTCATTTCATATTTATCTCTTCCACACTTAAAGTCAGAGAAATACATACCTTCTAACACAATCCAAACAGTAATTCAGTAAATCATGATTTTGTTTTGGGACACAACCCACTTCACACTGTGAATAACAGTAAGCTAGAGCTCAATTACACATATAATCTTCCATTTTAAGATAAAAATAATTAACATCTGTGGGGGACAGAGGCCTTAGGGCCTCCCATTACCCCCATTATTCCCTTTGCTGACTCCTTATCTTTCAGTTACATCTAAACCAACTACAAAGAAATCCCTCCCCAATGACCCGATCCAAAGTGGATAACAAAGTTATTCTCTCTCACAATACCCTCTACTTTTCCTCACAGCACTTAACACAACCTCTAATTTTATATATTTATTTGCTTAATGTTTGTCTCCCACACCAGGTCTTATGCTTTACAAGGACAACATTTATTTCCTCCCGTATGATCAGCAAGTAGTGCAGAGAGGAATACGGCACTGAAAAAGAATTTGCTGAAGGAATGAGTGGCATGATTAAAAGCACAGTCCTTCTGGCACCATGGGCGGGATGACAGACAAATAAAACCTCAAATGATCAGCACTCATAAAATCAGCATCTTTTTTTTTTTTTTTTTTTTTGAGACGGAGTCTTGCTCTGTCGCCCAGGCTGGAGTGCAGTGGCCGGATCTCAGCTCACTGGAAGCTCCGCCTCCCGGGTTCACGCCATTCTCCTGCCTCAGCCTCCCGAGTAGCTGGGACTACAGGCGCCCGCCACTACGCCCGGCTAGTTTTTTTTTTGTATTTTTCAGTAGAGACGGGGTTTCACCGTGTTAGCCAGGATGGTCTCGATCTCCTGACCTCGTGATCCGCCCGTCTCGGCCTCCCAAAGTGCTGGGATTACAGGTTTGAGCCACCGCGCCCGGCCAAAATCAGCATCTTTTAAAAGAAAGATTGAGGGAATGCAAGAAACTTTAGAACACTCAGAATTAAATTCAAAGTTTTGAAACCTGCCAAAACATCAAGTGTAAAAGGTTTACAACCTATTTTCACATGTCTTACTTAAGATTAACTGCAGCCACTCCAACTCATAAAATTTCTTAGAATTCCATCATCATCATGATAGACAGTTTGTGGTCTAAGGCATCATCCAGGCACTTAATATTTGTGTCCACAGAAAAAGGGAAAGAGGGAGGGCAGATAACTTAGTATTTGTTAGGTTTACGGATCAGTCGAAGATGCAGCATCTGACTAGCAACACCTCCTCTCTCTGGCGCTCATAATGCAAAGGACACACCCTACCACTGGCTCTCTGAGGAAAACCTCAGCCTCTGAGAGAATCAGCTCCTAAGATATTCTCCCAATTATTTTAATTTTTCTCAACTGCCAGGTGACTACTTGATGTCTTCATCTATTTTTAACTCAATAGTTTTAAAGATTATTAAATCTTTTTAACATTCTATGAAGGGACAGGTAAATAAGACAAATCCCAGCCCACAGTGAAATGGAATGAGAAGCCACAGGGTGTAGCAGATGAAAGAACAACCGTCCTACAGGTGGAGAAAGCTATTCTGCACTTCTACCATTGAAAGTTGGCTTCTGCGGTCATCCATCCATTCAGTCAGCCATCAAAATCTGTGGGTACATACTCCGTGGACACCACTCTCTGGCCACACTGCCTCTCTTCTCCAGACTCTTTCTTGCCTCATGGCCTTCCCATATGCCATTGTCTCTGCTTGGAATGTTGTCTGCCTGCTCCTAACATGGCTGCCTCCTGCTTATTCTTGAGAGTTCACCTTTAATGTCTTTTCCATCAAGTGACCATTTCTGACTATGCATAGATCATTCAGGTCTCTTTGTTCTCTTGCTCCATTTCTTTGCTTAATTACACTAAGCAGAACATGTAATTTTATATTTGTTTTTGCTTCATATATCACTTATACTAGATTTCTTTTTCCTGAGCCTTTTCTTTTTGCAAAATATGCATTTTATTGATACATATTAATTGACATACTTACGGGGTAAATGTGGCATTTTGATATATGCATACAATGTGTAATGATCAATCAGGGTAAATATATCCATCATATCCAACAGATGCTGAGATCCTTGAGTACAGAATCCATTTCTGTTTTGTTCATCAATATAAAACCAGTAACTATCATATTTTCTCACATACAAAACATACCTAATATTTAGTGAAGAAACAAATGAATGTATTTTTCACTGAAAGATATTTACTTGAATTTCTATTGTATAAATACAGAAATAAACACTACTGAAAAACTTCATCCTTAATTTTATTTTTGCAAATATTAAAAACCAGATTTTTATATGACAAAATAAACACTTTGTAAAACTACTGTTGCAGGATCCTCGGGGTGTTGCTTTTCTGGCCAGAAGCCTCTGTGGCTGGCGGCGCCTTTGCCTGAGTTCTGCTCTAGCCCACTGGGCTTGTTTCACCCATTTCGGGAGAGCAGGCTGTGCTCGGCTGACGCTACCGGCCTGGATCCCACGACTGCCGATGGCGAGCCAGGTATGGAGCAGTGAGGGGTGTATGAGCAAGCGAGCATGGGGTCCAGCCACTGCACACAGTGAGGCACGCTGGCTGCTGCAGCGGGGCAGCCAGCACCAGGTGTCTGCACAGGCGCCGGCTCTCTGCAAGGCTGCAGCCGGACCGGGCACACCACAAGCAGCTTCCACGGCTGCCACCAGGAAACATGGTGGCGGCTGGAAGCTTGAGACTACAGAAACCTAAGAGGTCCAAAGAGGGAGTCACAGCCCTGCCTCGGGGCGCTTCCAGGTCTCAGTTCCCCGAAGGGCCGCAGCTCTTCTCTCCTTGTTTTCACGCATAACACGGTGAGAAGGCGAAGTGTTTCGGCCCTGTTTGTGTTAGCTCTTTCAGCCCCGGCATCTCTCAGGTCCCAAGTTCTTGTTCCGTGTCCGGGAAGAATCAGGTATACAGACAAATAGAGGGTGAGCAAGGCGAAGAGTTTTATTGAGTGACAGAATAGCTCAGAGCAGGTCCTGGGTGGGGAGCTCCTCTCTGCAGTGAGGTCATCTGATGTCTGCAGCTCTCAGCAGAGAGTAGGCCCCGGAGTGGGTAGCTCCTCCCTGCAGCAGGTCGTCCTGATGTCTGCCCAGCTCTGGTTGATCTGGGGGCTTTTATGGGCCTCAGGGGAAGGAAGTGCACGCCAACTGGTCCATGGGCGGCCATAGGCAGGCCCAGAAAAGGCAC